ATTACTGCGCGCCCACGACTCCCACCGCGTGTGCCGGGGAGGAAGGGACACGCTTGTGTGGACGAGTGCTTAAGGATCAAAAGTTTTTGACGACACAGACACGTGTATGGATTTTGCAGGGAAACAATGGGGTTTTGCAAGCCGAGCAAATTTGTGTATAGCGAGAAGTGGTTGATGCCACGGGACCTACGGGGGATGTGGTTCCTCAGAGGCAACCATTGGATTCTCATTCATAAATGTCGAATCAATTTCACTGGCATTCACTGATATTTGTTTAGAGAGGCCATGGAAATCTCAACAGATGGAAACAGAACGGCAGAGATCAAAGAAGCACGGACTTGTCAAGTTCCAAAAAGATGCGCCTAGGCAGCAGACACAATTTGCTTTCTTTTTTGCTCTCAGTTGAATGGTGTGCACCACCGTCCAATTCCTTTCTGTGCTAGCTTTAGTCCCTACAGAAGTGCCTAGAGCACGCCCGCCGCCGTGATCTTGATGGGTAGGGTGGGCACATTACTCGGGGGCTTCACCTCCACTTTCTCCACTTCTTTCAGCACCTCCAAGCCTTTCGTCACCCTTCCAAAAGCCACATAGCGCCCATCTGCCCAGGAACCGTCCTTCCCCATATTGATGAAGAATCGCGAGTCGACCGTGCCTGATTTATCGTTCACCATGGAGAGCATTCCCTCCAACGAGTGCTGCACCCGCAACGTTTCCTTAGGCAACGGGGTGCCGCCTTTCAAGGAAGAGCGTCCTGTTGCCCCTCGTTTTTTACTACCGATATCGCCCATCTGTATGGAAAAGTCCTTGAGGACGCGATAAACGTTGCTGCCCTTGTAACCGTCCCGGCACAGGGCTTCGAAATTTGCTGCGGTCTGTGGGCACACTTTTCCATATAGGGAGACCTCAATCCTGCCGAAATTGGTCTTTTCTGAAGCAAATTCTAGAAAACAGACAGACGTTACAGCTGGCTCCGTGATATTAGGGAAAATGGGGTCGCTCACTTCTACTTGGTCATACGGGGCAGAAAGGGTGGGGGACGTGCTTGCGGCAGTAGTCAAAAGCAGCACGGTTGTTGCTGCCTTTTTGAACACATGGCGTCGATCGTCACCTCTTCTAGCGGGCGCTGCGCTTAAACTTATGTCCCTCCTCTGTTTAAGTGGGTTGGGTAAACATACAAATGGTGTCCTGGTGTGCTTTTTACTTCTGGTACACTCCCCGGTCCGACCCCGTCGACTGCCCAGCACTCTTCATCTCTCACCTGTCTTGGCCCTTGCACAGTTCCTAAGAAACCCTGAATTACCAAGCTGGCCATCAGAAGCATTGTTATGCATAGACAGCTTTGCGTTGGTCGCATCTCTGTTTCCAAGGAGGGTTTCCAGCGTGTCAAAAAATGGGGCAGAACGGTCAAGCGGCCTCGCCAACGACAAAATCGCTTGTAGACGCGAGGTCGAGACCCGTTCAGTCTAAAAGGCATCAGTCAATGCACGTTTGACAATCATTGCCGAGAAATTTACGCAAGGGCACGCTCCTTCTCCTCCAGAAAATATGCAGTCCCGAGGACGGGTTCGCGTCCTTCTACTGGTGATGCTTTTCACCATGCCTGATGCCATCTCTGCTTACGTTTTTAATCGGCTGCAGTATCACAAGCTGATGATGACATCTGACGATTCTTTACGGTCCCTCTCTCGGAAAACAATGCTGGCGAACGGCCTGAGTAGTCGACGCACAGTCATTGACTCTGGTGCTACTGCTGGTAAGCTAGCGGCGGCCTTGTTTCTCACACATCCTTCGGCTGCACAGGCTCGTATAAAGGGAGCCGCCGAAATTGATGCGGAAGCATATTTTCAAGATCTCTTGAAAGGTAATCCGCTGACGGGGGGAATTGAGCAATCTGCAATTGAAATTCGACCTGCTCGGGTGCTCGACAAAGAGTTCGCGACATTTTTGGACAAAACAACATTAAAATTATTAAGTGAAACGTCGGGCGTCTCTATGGAAGGTGTGGAGAGGGAAGTAGCTGCTTTCAGACAAGCTGTGGAGCCAGGATTTCAACGACGGGCGCCCTTTCCGACGGGCGACTTGAGCAATGAACGGTGTTTCGACTGCTATTCTTATGCCGATTTCCGTGTCGCGGCAAAGCTCATCCCCAACCTGCGCGCCCGAGCCACTTTCGTCCGTCAGCTGGGAGAGACTGTTCTTGGTAAAATCTTTGAGGGTCAAAGGGCAATCGATGCAAAAGCCGTGCCTCGAACGTACGATGCGCAAAAAGATGGGTTGGAAGAGGCACTAACCGGGCTTAGCAGAATTCTTGCTTACATGAAATTGAAAGGCTTTCTGAAAGATTTCCGGGTGAACGCCGATGACTACGACCGAGCCTCCTGGGATGAAGGGTTCAGCCTAGAGGTGCTGGTAACGGTCATAGAACCAGCGACATTGGGAGGAAACGTTCAATTCACCGGGGAAGGGTTTCTTTTTCATCCGGACTACGTCGCTGAAACCTTGCTGGCCTACTTGGCACTTTGTGGTGTACGGAACGCAAAAGCACTCCAGGTACGGGAAACGCATTTTGATGAGGGGCACAATGTGTAATCTTCGATGTTTATGACAATTTGAGAACGTCCGAATTGGGTATCGCATTATTTTGTTTTTGAGCTTCATACGTTCGAAACAGTCTTACCTCTCCGCCAAACCTTGAGGGCCGTCATGAACTGCCGTATGAGGACGAAATTGTCAATGTGAGTCACTGTCCTGCATTATTCTCTTTATTACACAGTACCTGCTCGACACGGAGTATCGTCCAAATCCGAAGGACTACAACCCCACTGAAGTTTTGTATCAAATAAGTCTCGGAAAGGGATCAGAAAATTAAGGGGTGGCAGCATCATTCATGTATTATTCTATAAAACGACTTAAGCATTCAAATAAAAATATTAAAGATAAGCCTAAACTCATTTTGTGCTCGGTATCTTTGTAACGTGCAATTTTTCTTTAAATATTATTTTGCTACGATGGGAGTTGGGGGGGAGGTTGCTCGCCGGCAAGTGACCGTCTAATTGCGTCATCCCCTCTTTGTATTGGTGACTTGAAATATTTTTCAGCTTCTTTCAACGCATACCCACTCAAACTAATCATTGAATGACAGACAGTAGTCATGACACAGTCAAAACTATCAGCGTTTTTTCGTTCGTCAAGCCACAAGAAAACTGCGCCGAAAACGGGCGAGGACTGTTCGTCTGAATCGCGGCTGGAAAAACGGGTTTTGGACGACATTGACGATAACAGTGGTACATTGGAGAAGCATGACGTTGTGGCTGTTGTACAGCCTCCCGAGAAGAAAACGGCTTGCGGAAAAAAAATCGAGGTTACCGCTGCATCGTTGGCTTTTGCTGCTCCCTTGAAGTCCTCCCCTACTCCATCGCCCTCTCCTTGTCTGCCACCGGCCCTGACAGCCCATCCCGTGCTGCAGTCTCTCGACGCGATGGACGATGGTTGGCGTCACTTTGTCGTATCTCAGGCTGGCAAACCCTACTTTTCGCGGCTTCTTGCATTCCTTTCGCAAGAAATTTCTAGTAGGCAAGTTGTGTATCCACCCTATCCCTTAGTGTTCTCTGCCTTAACCCTCTGCCGCTGGCTGGATGTCCGGGTAGTTATCATAGGCCAAGACCCTTATCATGGACCGAATCAAGCGCATGGGCTGGCATTTTCAGTGCTGCCTCCTACGCAGCCCCCTCCGAGCCTCAACAACATGTTCAAAGAGGCGATGGAGGACGTCAGCGGATTCACTAAGCCCTCTCACGGAAACTTGGAAGCCTGGAGCCGGCAAGGTGTCCTTTTGCTCAACACGGTGCTCACAGTTCGTCGTGGGCAGGCCAATTCGCATAAGGGTAAAGGATGGGAAACGTTCACGGATGCTGTGATCAAGGAGCTGGACGTGAAGAAGAAGGGGTTGGTCTTTGTTTTATGGGGGAAGCCTGCGCAGGTGAGACAATAGTCTACTGAATAATGAGTATTTGTGATCTTTGTCAGCTATATGAGTGGCGTGGACGGCTCTGGGAATCATGCATCCGTTGAGCACGCGGAAGGGCCTTTTCGGGTCACAGGTGTCCGCGTCACGTCCGGGATTGTCAGCTTCATTTGTTGTGCAAAGCGCTTCATATCATCGTTGAAGAGGCTGTTGTATGGCTCCTTTGTCCTTTTCTCTTTGTTTAGCCTTCTCACGTTTCAACATTCATACCCCCTTCACGAAGGAAAAATGTAAAAGCATCAATCGCGCAAAGCATAGGGTCATCCGATGCGCGCACCCCTCACCGCTCTCCGCAACCAAGACAAACGCACCATTTATTGGATCCAAAAGCTTCTCGCGGACAAATGCTGCACTTGTGGAACTTGGAAAAGAGCCGATCGACTGGCGCTTGTGATCCATGCGGGCCATAAGGCTCTCAAGATTGAGGACGTGGCCGAAGGCCGTCGCACAATGTAGCCAAGCTTGCCCAGGCTCTGCAGAGCGCGAGATTTATCCAGGCAGAAAGTTTTGGTTGGAATACGTTCTACGTTGGACAGGGCATGCGGGCCGTCTGTACAGATAATGGGGGGCACAGTCTGGGAGGCATGGGGCTCGGCTCAGGGATGGCGCAAGGAACGGAAGAGGGGCTGAAGTTCCGTTTGACGTTACGTTACATGATGACTTACAAATATGACTTTTGACAAGCTTTTTGGACTCTTTGTCAAATGTCTGTTGCTCTCCCTGGAAGAGCGACCGCGACCGAGGCGGCGATATGAAGAACGTATACTTAGTTCTCTCACACATACATGCCTCACATCTTCCTTTTTATTTTACATCGAGCCATCACGTCTTCTCCAATTTTCTGGTTTACAGTTTTGTGCCTAGCTATTACTGTGACAATGGACTTGTGATACCCATGAACGTATTTCCCTCCTCCAACCCGATCTCGCTTGTCTCTTTCCCCTCCCCCATGCCCGCACTCTGGCTTCCCGCCACCTTTCCACACTCGTTCAAATGTCGAATCTCCTGTGAATTCCATGTCTCTAGGATATTGGGTTGATTTCCTCCACAGTATGAGGCCACGCCACGCCTAGGGGAACGGGCCCCCGCACAGCCTCTGCTGCTTTTCGCTTCGACGACGCCTTCTTCCTCGTTGACGAGGGCATTGCCAGTGCGAGCGCAACCACTTCCACTTCCTTGACCACTCTTATGCCCTGGAAAATTGCCACTCTGAATTTTGCTCGACCCCGCGCTTTCCAGGCTCGCATTTCGGGTCGCAAAGGGCCACATCCGGCCAGCTAAAGTACCGGAACTGCTACTCCAAGTCAGGATACAACGCTCAAATACCATGCGCCACAATGGCAGCGAAATAAAGACGGCTCCCATTGCTGCCATCACAAACATAGAGAGCCCCATATGAACAGAGTAGCCATCCTGGAGCTCGCGGTGGTCACGAAGGAAAGCGAGAACCAGAAGATTCCAGGCAGCCGCACTGCCGATACCGCAGACTCCAGCAAAGAGGAAGATGTTCCAGACCCAAGCCGCAAGACTATAAACATGCTGCGGGCGGATCCATGAGCTCCCTATAACCAGAAAGAGTAGCAGGACGCCAGTATATCCCATGCCCAAGCTCAACAAAGCTGTTATTTGCGAAATTCGCCACCAAACACATTTTTCCGTTGAATACATGGGACCTAGACCATTACAAAAACGAGGAGTTGATGATTCTCGAACTTCTCCAACATGATATATTGTCTCAAAAAGCCCTATGTGAGCATCTAAGGTGCTCTGAACGTTTGCATCCTCTACGGTCCACTCCGGCAGGAGAACAGCAGCCAAGCCCAAACCCCAAGCCAGAGTGGCAATGATGAAAGTTGCCAAAAAGACGCGTTTGGCAGTAATTTGTTTAAGTCTTGAGTTAGGAGACAGCCACGATGGCGAGCAGGTTGACAGGTGCTGGGAAGGTCGCGGCATGAGCGCACCTGCGAGAGGTTTATGTGGAAGCAAAGCCCGGGCTGCTTGTACTAGAGGAAATGCAATGACAGGGAATTTTTCAGCTAAGCAAAAACTGTCGTGAATCCGGAGAAATTCAGACAAGTAATTATATGTCAAGATTTGAGTTTGGATTGCTCAGAAAATATGGACATTATGTTGGGGGTATGCGTAGGCAACCTTGGAAGAGCTTGAAAATTTGAACCGCCCGCTCTCGCCGACCGAGCCGTTAATTTGGCGGTTTTAACCAACACATTTGACTTTGGTCTCGGTTGCCGTTTCACCGAGCACGATCGATGAGGCTCTATTTTAGGTCATATCCTCGGTCCTGAATGCCTTTTCCCCATGCGTGACACCGGCAATCTACATAATAAAGACTGAATCTGACTGACCGTCTCGTATTTCATACTCGTATCACGGTAGGAAAGACTTGTGCGCCTCTGCATATCTTCAAGAACTTTAAAACCCATGGGAGAGAATCATGCAAACGATTGTCACTATCTGATGAAAGGAGACGACGAGGAGACTTGTATCGATGGGCTCAACACGTCAAATAAGCACCAGAACGAGGAATTTTGGAGAAAGAAAACCAGCCGATGGGACGAGGGAAGCTCACTGCGCCGCATGCTCAAGGTGTTCATCTTTGTGACCGTGCTCCTCTTCGTGACAAATCTGGTCTATGAAACGCAAAGCAGTAAGAAATCGGATGATCTTAGCCTGGCTACAATCCAGCATGGAGAGAGCTCGAGCGCAGACGAGGAAAATGAGGTTGCCGCAGCTGCCGAAGATGAGGGTTTGCATCAAGAAACATCCAGCAACGGGAACAAGGCAGATCTTATTCAGATGAGTGTGGCAAATGACACCGCCAAGATGTTGACTGCTCGGCAAACCATCGCCTCTGCCCTTAAGGCGCTTCAAAAAGATGTAGGGCCCGAGTATGCTTCGGAGCTGTTTGGGTCAGTACGTTTTTGGAACAGGAGGTATATCAAGCAGAAGCTGATTCGCGCTCTGCTGGGTCAGAACGGCTGTCCGGGCAAGGCCCAGAGTGACCACGACTTCATCATGTCTTTCGCAGGGACCTCTGTGACGGCTGGGCATGACAATTACTTCAATCAGTCCTATCCGATTGTTCTAGAAAGGCTTTTGCTCGACTCGTACACTGCTGCAGGATTGAATCTGGAAGTTCGGAATCATGCCATGGGGTTCAACCCTGCCATTCCCGCGGCATTCTGTGTGAGGAGCCAATTAGGAGAAGACACGGATGT